TTTGTTTTTTTGTTTTGTTTTGTTTTTCAAGACAGGGTTTCTCTGTGTAGTCCTGGCTGTCCTGGAACTCACTCTGTAGACCAGGCTAGCCTCGATCTCTCAAACTCAGAAATCCACCTGCTTCTGCCTCCCAAGTGCTGGGATTAAAGGCGTGCGCCACCACCGCCCGGCTCTAAATTTATTTTTAATAACTCCATTACCAGTATTGAATAATAGCAGTAGTAGCCTTAAATGTTGAGGTAGTGTTTTGTAAGTTTTTGCTTATATGTGTGTGTGAGTTCACAGGTACACGTCTCCTTGTGGAACAGAGGTGTGGAACAACTGTATTTTGTATATTATAAAAGGCTTTTTAAAAGTCAATAAATAATACCTTTTGGGCCATTGTATTAACTGCTTTTTTTTTTGAGACAGTGTTTCACTGTGTAACACTGGCCTTGATATCACACATCTCTGCTTTCTGACTGCTGGGATTAAAGGTGTGCACCCTCATTCTTGATGACTTTTTCTAAAGATGAGGAAATAAACATAAATTTGGAGTTTGTATGATCAGATTTTATCCAAGGAGAAGTTACTAATAACATAGAAAAGTATCTCAGTGGTAAAAGTCTGTGATATGTATGGATATCATGTTTGTGATAAGTCTTTGTACAGTTTTAAAGCATGGGAAAATAGACATCACGACTCCTAATATTGTGACATAGATTAAGTTTGAAGAATCTGACAGTGTTTCAAAGGATGAAGCTGGTTACTGTCACAACCTCTTGCCAACCAGGTACTCCATTTTCAAGCACCTTGACAACTTTTTGAAGGAAAAGTGCTTTCACAATCAGCAGCAGGCTTTAGAAAATGCTTTCTAAGAATTTCATCAAATCTCAAAGCGTAAATTTCTCTGGAATTAACTGGCATTTCTCATTGACCCAGAACAAAAACAAACAAAAGTAATGGTTTCTGTTTTGATGGGTAAAGATGTGTTTGTTCCTTGTTAAACATATATAAAATGTGTACCAATATAGTAATTCTTATTTAAAACCCACAAGCCTTTGTGCAATATACATAATAGTATTGAGAGACTATCTGGAGTTCAAATAATTTTATATATTTTTAGCATTTAAATTTAATAATGAGAGCCGTATAGCTCAGTGCTTACTTATTAGACAAAAGGCTCTGTGTTTGATGCCAAGTACCACAAAAATATATTTTATTGAAATATTTAACCATATGCTTTTAAATTTTCTGTTAGTATGTTATATTAGTTTTATTTCTGTTACTTTGATAAAACAACATGGTCAAGATGACTTACAGAAAAATTTATTTGGGCTTAACAATTCCAGAAAGTTAGAGTTCTTAGTGTCAGACTAGAGAGAGGTACCAGGTTGGGATGGTGGCTGGAGAAAGGTGTTGAGAACTCACATGAACTGTAAGTACAAAATAGAGAGCATACTGGAAAGTAGCAGAATTTTACCTTTGCAAGCCTGCTCATCCTGACTGACTTCTTCAAACAAGACTACATCTCCTAAACCTCCTCAAACAGTGTTTAATCCAGCATTCAAGTGTTCAGTTGTAGAAACCTGTTGGGAGCATTCTCATCCGACTTCTACATATGATTTTTACTTGATCAGACATTTTAAGTAATCTGTGTTTCCTGATCTTTTCAGCAGATTGCTCCTGTATTTAAAAAGAGACTTTATACAAATTGTCTCTTTCCAGTTGGAATAGAAAAATGTGTTGATAGACAACCAAAAAGAAAAAAAATCTTAGAGTAAAATTTGTTTTATCTGGGTGTGGTGGTACACACCTATAATTCAAGCTGTCAAGGGACATGTGGGTGACCAGTTGGATGCCAGCCTGTGTTTACACAAAAAGACCCTGTGTTTAGGGGTTGGGAAGATGGCTCAGTGGTTAAGAGCACTGCTGTTCTTGCAGAGGAGCTCGGTTCAGTTTCTAGCACCCATGTACAGTTACTGAGTTACAGCCACCTGTAACTCCAGTTCTCAGGGTCTGACTTTCTGACGTTCGTGGGCTCTAGACATGCACCTGGTTTGCAGACATACATGCCACTAAAATACTTAGGACACTAAGTCAACGCAAAGTTTATAGCTTCCACAACTTTATGTTATTGAGCTTAGAATTGTTAGTTTTGAGTTTTCAGTTACTCTTTCAGTTTGAAGAACTGGGTACTTTGTTTTCATGAGTAATTGACATTATCCTGCCCTGGTTTTTTTTTGGGGGGGGGGACAAATTTTTCCGTTTTCTGGAATAAAATTGGTCATAGGAAAAAAAGCAAGTATGTTTGATTATAGAATGAAGGATTGATTTTATTATTCAGATTTTTGGATAGGTTATATTTAATTTTGTTCTTTTTAATCATTAATTTCAATAAAAATTTCTGGCTGTAGTAAGACCCCCTGGGCCCCTGGCTCTCTCAGTTTCAGCCCTCCACAGTAGCATATGCCTGTAATTCTAGCATTTGATCTATGGAAACAAGATGATGAGGTTTGAGGCAAGGGCTAGCAGCATGATACCTTTAAAAACCAGTGTAGTACTACACTGCTGTGTTACGGTAATTTGATAAATTTTACACAAACTGAGTTTTAGTTTAGATGTTAAATGGAGAACCTTTTTTGTGTGTTTTACTTTTATTAGTTCTTTTATTTTCTAGTGATTCATAAAATAATTTTGTCTTTCCTTTGCCAGTCTGTATATTGAGGTCAAGATAAAGTACAAGTTTTGACTTGGTTTGTCTGCTGGAATCCTGCTATTTCAATTTTAATACTTGATGTTAGATGTTTAAACTTTGAGTGTTGGTTTTCAGTGGCCATTCTGCAGGTCTGTTGTAAGAGCTGTAGATAGGAGGGCAACATTAAGCTTTTGTTTGTTTGTTTGTTTTGTTTTGTTTTGTTTTGTTTTGTTTTTTGAGACAGGGTTTCTCTGTGTAGCCCTGGGTGTCCTGGAACTCACTCTGTAGACCAGGCTGGCCTCGAACTCAGAAATCCGCCTGTCTCTGCCTCCCAAGTGCTGGGATTAAAGGCGTGCACCACCACTGCCCGGCAACATTAGGCTTTTATCTCAGGTTTTTAGTAAGTGGGGTAGTCAGGCTACTGTTTTGATTTTTTTTCTAGTGTTCTGACTCATTTGTAAATGGTGGTAAGCCTACATGTGTGTGTGTGTATGTGTGTGTGTGTTTTGTCTATTTGATTATTAAAACAAGGACAGAAAGAAAATGAACCTGAAACACTTCTGTGGTTTGAAAGTAGTCTTTAATTGATGATAGTATCTCTCACAGAGTTGGGTGCTTCTGCAGTTGTGGTTTGGTATTCGAGGCCTGGAGAGCTGCGGGGTAGCCCTTATTGGAAGGTCCAAAAATCTAGTATCTCTCACAGAGTTGGGTGCTTCTGCAGTTGTGGTTTGGTATTCGAGGCTTGGAGAGCTGCGGGGTAGCCCTTATTGGAAGGTCCCAAAATCTAGGTTTTGATGTCCGCAAAAGACAGTGGCTGCAGCAGCAGCAGCAAGGTAGATGACCATGCTAATTCAGAGCAAAGACATGTGGGCAAAGTCAAAGCTCCTTTCTTTGCTTTCCTTTTAACTAGAGTGTTGACTACATTTAAGGTGGGTCTTTCCACTTGAAAAAACATATAATGACTTAGTGCCCCTGTGACACTATTACTCCACAATACTATCAGCAGTGTAAAATGTTAGACAAGGCGTATGATATTAGAATCAGTTACTGCTAATAATTTATACTATGAAGCTTCCCTTGCTGAATGTTTATTCAGCAAGAGAGCTGAACTAGAGAAAAAAAGACAGTGCATTATGGCCTATCTTTGTTAGTTCTTTAAGACCTGTGTACCTATATGATCCTTTGTTAATGTCTCCCAGCTGGAAGTTTACTTTTTTATACAGGTTCAAATGTACTCTACTTTAGTACATTTGTATACCTTTACAGTATTTATGAATAGAATTTCACGTGAGCTAGGAGTTGAGATAACCACACACACAATAAAACTATGGATTAGAGTAATGAAAAAGTAATGGCTACAATTATGAACTGTAAAATAATACTTAGTATTATCAGAATTTCCAAGCTGTTAAGCTGATGATCAGTTTTTAAATTATAGATCAGAAACTTAATTATTATTGTATTTGGAGTTAATTAGATCTTTTGTTCATTCAATGATCAAAATGTCTTAAGTATGGGCAAGATTTAGGTGAAACTGTATTTCTTTAGTTACTACTTTAAAGTGGAATAGAATAAGTTTGAGAGTGAGATAAAAAATATACATACATACACATATATATGTGTACATAGGTGAAGTTATAGATTGCTTTTGTCTGGTTGTATTCCTAGCTGTAGATTTTATTGAATATCTTTTCTTTCTTTCTTTATTTAATAGTATATTTTCTTTGTAAGACCAGGTTTCTTTGTATAGCCTGGGCTGTCCTGGAACTTACTCTGTAGACCAGGCTAGTCCACCTTCCTCTGTCTCCCAAATAGTTGGGCTTAAGAGCACATGCCACCATTGTCCAGCTTCTGATGGATATTTTGCTAAATTATTTTATTTTTTTAGGTAAATATTGGCTGTTTTAAAATGTAGTTTCTATGTGCTTGTCAGAAAATTAACTTCTTTTTTATTAAACTGTCAGAAAATGAAATATTTTAAGCTGTTATTTTTGTGTTCCCATTTAAGAGCTTGTTTCAGAATTATTCTGGTCTTCCTGGAGACGTCGTTCTTATTATTGCCCACTATGCTGTCCTGTAGTGCATCAGTGAACTTATTTTCTTTCTTTAAAAGAAAGCATTTGGATATCTGCATATTAATAAGAACTATTTAAGATAGTTTAATTGCTAGAGACTTTTATTTGTTATGATTATGGGCTTCAACATTATTTTATCTTATGCTACTTGCTGTTTGGTTTATGTTTTTGTTTTGTTTGTTTTTATTTGAGTCAGAGCATTACTGTGTAGCCCATGGTGACCTCAAACTTGCTAACTCCTTTCCTTAGCCTGCTGACTATTGGAATAGTAAGTATGCACTAACATGCCCAGTTTCAAAATTAATTTCAAGTAAATTTCTACCAATTTTGTATACTCATGTTCATTTAATTGTTTTTAATGATTCATGTATGTGTGTATACACAGGTGCACATACCTCTGTATGAAAACCATAAGAGGGCATGAGGTCTCTAAGTTGAGCTTATAGGTGGTGATGGGATACTGTTAGTTTTATGGATGCTAGAATCAGAACTTTAGTCCTTATGATAGCTTAGCAAATACAAGAAACGGCTGAGCCATCTCTCCAGCCAGTCTTTCTTTTTTACTTTGGTGTTATAAGATTGGATTTTGTCAATTGTATGTATCACATTTAGTCTTCATGCTTGACTTACAATTTAATTTTTTCTTTGATATCATTTTAGTACTTTCTCATCACTTTGGTCAGCGACTGTGTATGCTATGTTAAATCTCATTTGAAATGTCTGAGCATTTTTTCCTCTTTATTAAGGCTGCGAGGTGTGACTGCTGTAAATCCCAAGGCACTCTGAAAGAGCGAGTGCAGTGGCGTGGTGAAATGAAACATTTCTGTGATCAACACTGCTTACTGCGTTTCTACTGTCAACAAAATGAGCCAAACATGACAACCCAAAAAGGACCTGAAAACCTACATTATGGTATGTCATGTGGCCACTTGAAAACTTTTTGTATTCTTAAAACAAAGAATCCCAAGCATTGTTAATAAACAGTTGATTTTGAAGGTACTTACTAGAACTGGGTCATGGCTCACTGGTAGAGTAAGGATGATAGTTTATAGCCCTAGTAAGCTTCTCCCCCAAAAGGTCAGTTTTATCATATGTACAGATGGAAAATAACAATTGAAATAAATCCCATACTTTCTCTAGGTCTAAGTCTCCTGTATGATAATATTTTATAGATACATTACTTATTTTATTCCCCCTTAAAAACATGTATCTTGGGCATCATTGAGCTAAATTACAGAGAAATTAAACAGAATTAAAAGAACTGTCTAAAAAAATAGTCTCTCCTATGACAGCTAACTTCAAATTCAAATAAAAAGTTCTCTGAGCAGATTATGTGCTAGTTGTAGCCTAAAAGTAACAACAAAACTTTTTAGAAGTTGTGGTCTTTTATTTTATTTAGAGTATCGAAGTTCCCCTAAAGCATACTGTATTCAGAGAGGGCAAAGGGAAAAATTAGTTAATCATTCACTTACCTCCATATTTTTTAGACTGTTTGTAAATTTGGGATTGTTTCTTAAAATAGTTTTTTGAAATTGGTAAAACTGACTGATAAACAGATATTTATAAAAATGTCGAGAAAGTATATTTATCTTATTTTTAAATGTTTATGTTTTTTTTTTTAGATCAGGGCTGTCAGACGTCCCGAACCAAAATGACAGTGAGTATTTCTCAGTTTAGTGCTGTGTTGTGGTTTATAGTATAAGTGAAAGTAATTAGGCTGAGTTAATATGATCACCATGAGAGTTTTTTTTTTTTTTTTTTTTTTTTTTTTACTGTGTTGAAGCAGTGTAAACATTCAGCTTACTTACTAGTAGGAGAGACTGTTAGACATAATGAGGAACATAAAAGTGAATCATTATAGCCTCTACCCAGATGGTATTTGAATTGACATAGGAATAGCTTTGATAGGATTGCTCCCTCTCTATCCCTCTCTGTATTCAGAGGGCATGGATGGGCCAGTGGTAAATAGTCAGAAGGTTTTTAAGAGAAGCAACAGAGGACAAAGTACACGAGCGACACACTAGAGACCAACCTGACATGGATCTTGCTTGGAGGGAAGCAAGGGAAGTGAAGTTGAAAGTAGTGATATGAAGATCTCTGAGTAGATGGCTGAATCTACAAGTCTTAAACCTGAAAAATACATAATATGCTCTCTGATCCTATTTTTGTTTAGCCTTTTTCTTTCTTTTGGTACAATGCATCAAATCCTTAATTCTTGTAATGATTACTAGAAAGCATAAGGAGTGCTTGGCCATACCATGAAGATCAATGAGGCACTGTCTGTCTTCAGTATACCACCTCTTTTAGAGTTTCTAGCATCTTTGTTCAAAAGGCCTGTGCTTAAGGAATTGTTCATTGGCGTTAGAAAAAGCCTGTGGACCAGCTTGTACTGTGGGTAAACAAATCAATAAAGATCTGTAGCTTCAACAAAGCTCACCTAGCGGTTTTTCAGAACTCTGAGATATTTAGACTCCAACTCAGAAATTGTGATTTAGAAAATTCTGTACATGATTCTAATATAAAAGTAGAGATGACAGTAACCTACAGACATACACTCTTTATATCCTTGGGTTAGGATGCCATCATGGCTATTAAGACTTGTGTCCTTTTTTTTTTTTTTAACATTGTAATCTTTTAGCCCTGTATCCATAGTCAAAAGAGAAGCTTATCTAGTTTTTGAAATAAGCTGAAATGTGTTCTACTTTCGAGATATACCCTTACAATATTTTTTAATAGAATTTCATTTGAGGTATGATGTACGCGATAATCACATGCACAATATAAAACTATGGATTAGAGTAATAAGAAAAGCCACAGCTACAGTTTCCATGAACTGTAAAGTAGTGCTTAGTATTATCAGAATTTCCAAGCTGTTAAGCTGACAGTTTTTGAAAATTGTACTAATTTATTTTTAGATCAGAAACTTAGGACCTGTTTACAAAAATTGTAATGAATAGCATTGATGTGTACCTTTCTGCTTACAGAATGGTAATCAGAGTTAGCAGAATGTTAAACCTCAGCTAGTGCTGGCGGTTTGCACATTTGATATGTTGAAAAAGTTGAACTTGAAGGAAATAAGTTATATAGATACTGGAAGAACCTGGCAAGTGTTTTACAGGAGAATGAAGAACAGCTTTCTAGAGCTGACAGGAGTGTCAAAGGCTTTGGTAAACTTAGTAGTAGTTTTCAAGTATCTAGCTTTATCAGTTTCTGCAGCCTTGTCTTGTGTTGACAGTGCTCAGAATCTGTGAACTGTCTGCATGTTATTCTGTGGGAGATAGGATGAAAAAGCATAGAGATTGTCTAAAATATTCTGGAGTTCTATAGCTGCATTAGGGAGAGAACCTGGCCTTCAGAGTTGAAGAATTAATCTGTTTATTAGGCCAGAATCCTTAGGTTCTAATCATTTCTGGAAACAAAATCATTCACTTCTCTCCTACACAGTGTAGTCAAGTTGAAAATTAAGGCTTGTTATGGCTGAGACTTGTAGTTTCAGATACTCAGGAGTTGGAGGCAGGAGGATCAAAACGTTGAGACCTAAGTAATTTTACAGAGTTAAGTACAAACCTTAAGGCTAACCTAGAAAACTGAGACCCAACTCAAAAAATCTGTTGCATTAAATAAGGTTACATGATACAGCCGAGTAGAAGGGCACTTGCCTAGGGTGTGCTAGGATAGAAAAACATTTTTTTTTTTAAACTATCAACATTCTACAAACTTTGAAGGCATGAGTAAACTGCAAGTCTTAGTGTTAACAAACTCCCACAGTGGCCAACTGCCCATTATTATTACATTAACTCAGCCTGGGGCAGCATCAAACACATTACTGTTAGCTAATTGATGGAGAAATGTTTGTTAGACTAAAGAGGTTTGAAGGCTCTGAATTCTGGTAACTGGAAATAGAAATGTTAAAACATAATTTAGGGGCTGGAGAGAGCAGTTAAAAGCACTGCTCTTGGAGTGAACCTGAGTTTGGTTTCCAGCACTCACATGGTAGCTCACAACCATCCATAACTCCAATTTCAGGGAATCTGTTGCCCACTTCTGACCTATTCAGGCACCAGGCTTGCACATGATACATACATACATGCACACAGGCAAATACTCATATACATGAAATGAAGATACATAAAAAAATTTAAAATCCACATAGTTTATGTTGTGCAGTGAATGGGTAGGAAAGGCTTTGGTGACGTAAAAGGAGAGGATACAGACAGAATGGATGTCTTGAAAAGACTGTCAGTGTTATGGAGAAATATGACCCTGTGCATCAGAGTTAAGCACCACATGTATCACAATGTCTAAGAGATTGGAGGCAAGTCACCCGACCATACAAGGCTAAAAGAGTTGGCTTGGGAGGGAAAAACTGGTGCTGCCAAGTCACAAGCCCTAGTTTGACTAATCTCTTCCTTGGTTGTATGAATTTCATCAAGGTTGAAAGATGAAATCAACCACTATACCTCTCTCTCATCATAGATCTCAAGCTCTACCAGAGTAAAACTTAGTGTACTTATAATTAAACTTTAAATGCTAAGTCTTTGTTCTGTGTATTTTCAGGACTTTAATTTATAGTGTCTCCTGAAGGTGCCATTACTCTGTAGAATGAATTCCTTCTGCTAACCAGTTGTTTAGATCCACATTGATCCTACAGATTATGACTGGTAATTTAGGAGTAATAATATTTGGTTATACTTTCTAGTTTTTGTGGAAGTCCACTTAGGAGTTGGAAAACA